CTTGCATCTGAAGAAGTGAGGTTCTTACCCACGAAAGCTTATGCTCCCAATACTTCTGTTAGTCTTAAAGGTGCCACAGGACCCTCTGTTGCTTTTTACAGACTCAGACTAACACGGCTACCCCTCTGATACTTGTGCTGTTTTAGGTACTGTCCACACTACAAAAGCCCACCAAACACCTACTGCGTTAGATTACGATATAATTGTCCCCAAGATAGTTAGGCACAATCTGCTCTGAAAGGCTGTGTTTTAACTATGCTGGGGACCTACCTCGCTGTCACGGGGAAGCGATGGACCCCGGCTGGGAGCCACCCCCAGTCCCAGCGTAGCCAAAGCCCCGCCCCACCCAGGGCTGGCGGAGCAGAGCACGGCAGGCCTGGTCAGCAGCGGCTCCGAGTGACGCATGTGGCTGTTCTGGATACCGCAGAAACACGGTCCAAACAGCAGCTGTTCAGCGATGCCCCCCGCATTGGCGGCGGCGCCTGGGAGCCCATCGCTCCCCGCGCATAGCATCGGGCAGGGACCGGGCACTATCGTGAGCGGCTGAGCCTCGCAGTCCCCACGGCGCGGGGCTTTCCCAGCCTGGTGAGGCTCGTGGGCTCCGTCTCGGCACTGAACTACAGCAGCGAGGCGGTCCCAGCACAGCTAGGGAGGGGAGTCAGGGGACGCCGCTGCGGGAGCCCTCCCTACAATCCCCCGCAGAGTGGCCCCGATCCTTCTGAACTTGCAGCTCCCCCACTACTCACCCCCCACAGCCTCCATGCTGCCTCAAGCACTGCTCCTGCACTTCCGCCTGCCCCGAGGTCACGCGCAGAGGAGCGCCGCGGCCAATGGGAAGCCGAGCTCTGGCTGTAATCCCGCCCCGTGAACTAATTTTGGCCCCGACCTGACCTTGCTGAGTGACGTTCCTCTCAGCCAATGGCCTCTGTGTTTCGTACCTGTTACGTCATCATGGTGTAAACGCCTCGGTGGCTGCGTTAGAAACTTTCCTCCAATGGCGCAGCCCTCTGAGGACTGACAGCCCATGTGGCCAATGGTATGAGAAATTAATGATTTTATCCCCGCCCCCTGACCTGTGAGTGAGGGGAGCACGGTCCAACTGAGAATGTCGGATGAGGAGAGATCCCGTCTCCCGGAGAAGCCGCGGCCAATGGGCGCGGAAGGGGCGGTGCGGAGCGTGGATTGTTTATATCTTGGGAGAGGAAAAGTAGGTCAGAAGGAGAGCGAGGGTGGCCTACGTAGGGTCGTGGTAGCCGCTGCGGCGCAGGTAAGAGGGAGGCGGGATGAGGCTGCGGCCGGTCCGTGGGCGGGGGGATCTGTGAAGTGGGGGGGGAAGGATTCATTTGCGGGCTGGGGAGGGGGCTCTGTGCCGTGGGAGATAAGCCTGCGGCCGGTCCCTGGGTGGGGGGGAGGAGGGGAATCTGTGCAGGGAGAGTGAGCCAGCAGCCTGTTCTTGGGCGGGGGGATCTGTGCTCTGTTAAGGGGCTGCTGCCTATGGGAGGAGGAATAAATCTTTGTGTGTGTTTAGGGAAGGGGTGTGGATCTGTAGCCTGTGGGTGCTTTAAAACCTGCTCTGTGGGGTCAGTCTTTGTCCTGTTTGGGACGACGGGGAGACCCATACTGCTCGCTAGCCACCCCATTGCCCTCCCTTGGCATAGACAGGGTAGATTCTAGTCTGGGCTCAGTCCCTGGTTCTCTGAACGCCTGCTGGGTTTGTATTGGGGTCAGTCGTGTTCTCTGGCCAGGCTGGCCTTCCTTGAGCATAAGGGAGTGGGGTGGTGTCTGGAACTGGTCTGGTCCTAGCTATCTCTAGCAGACAGGAGCCATGCTGGCCTCTGTGTCATCACTGAGGGATTGACATGCTGCCTTGGATACCATGGAGATGAGTTTGGTGTAAGAACCTCAGGAGTACAGAATTGCCGGTCTGTGATGCTGGTCTGTACCTGAGAGCTCTAGGCAAAGTCACTCTTAAACAACTTGGCATTCTGTTGATGCTTGACAAGTAACCTGGGTGCAGGTTTTCCATTAATCTATTTAGGGTCCAATCCTGTTCCCACATGAACCACTGGCAAAACTCCTTGACCTCAGCAGCTGCAGGTTTGGGCCTTTAATCTTTGCTCACTGACTGAGACTTGCTCTCCCTTCCCCATCACAGGTTAGATCCAATTATAATTTATGGAAAGGAAGGAGAATGGTTCTCAAGTCTCAGCTGCTGAATAAAGACTAAGCTGATTCTTGGGGTTGTTTGTCAATAATTAGGCTTTGTCTGACTCATGTACTTCCTGCTGCCTGCAGTCTCCCTGGGCTAGAAATAAATCACATTTGGATATGGACATTCTTTTTTTCTCCCCTCCTTCAAAGGTACCGGATTGGGTGTGAGTCTAGAGGTACAGATTGAGTCAATCTCCATTTCTATGTTCCTACCCCTCCCCGGGACATGTGTTCTTTTATGCCCCTTTCTAAGGTACTTTTCTTGCTGGGTTTGTTCTTCTGTAATATTAGCTGGAGTGGGGGGAGAGACACCAAGAAACCCTCCCTCTTGCCCACCTCTGCTTTCCCTGTCTGCGAAATCCTGGGTAAGAGGAAGTCTAGCAAAGTTCGTGGAAGGCAATCAAATGCAGCCTCCTCAGCCCAAGGGAAGGAAGCCAGTTTCTGAGTTTAGTCCCCTCCTTCCATTTCAAGAACCCCATGCTCCAGAAAGCATTACCACAAGGACTACTGGCTCAATTGTCCCAGCTGATCTCAGCTGCTGGATTAAAGCAAAGTGAGAATTGTGTAAAATATCCAGGACCCAACCCATGTCAAACTGCACCCAGAGTGCATTAAGGAGCCAGGCCGGCCTCTGAATCTTAGGGATATGTTCCATGCAAGAGATACTGGGAACCAAATAGTGCAGAATGCATCTGCCAAAGTTTAGTTTATTGGTGCAACCCCATTACAGTCATTTAACTGGTAACCAAGGTGTGGGCTCTGCGCTGAGATCTCATGGCTGATGGGAAAAGTCACAACCTCTGGCCAAGCGCAGATGAAAAGAAACTCCCAGCAGCAGCCGCCAAGTGTCCAGTAAAACTCGTAGAATATAGCAAACTTGCGTGGCAGATAGTTCAAGTTGTTATTGATAACGAGACTACCCTTTTGGTTGAGGGATAGATTTTTTTTTTTATTATTATTTTCCCCGAGCACCAAAAATGTACTGGGCTGTTTCCTTTGACTTCTCCCACCCCATTTTATCACTGTTATTGGTCTTATCCCAATTAAGCTTCAGCCAGTTCTCTCATCTTTGGCCCCCAGTCTTGGCTGGACCCTGGTAAAGCAGAACTGCACCATCCAGGTCTGAAAAGTGGAGACTTAGGGCTTGTCTACACTACCGCGGTAGTTCGACGGCTGGCAATCGAACTTCCGGGTTCGATTTATCGCGTCTGGTGTGGACGCGATAATTCGAACCAGGAAGTGCTCGCCGTCGACTGCGGTACTCCACGTCAGCGAGAGGAGTACCGCGGAGTCGACGGGGGAGCCTGCCTGCCGTGTGTGGACCGCGTCTGAACCGCGGTAAATTCGAACTAAGGTATGTCGACTTCAGCTACGTTATTCACGTAGCTGAAGTTGCGTACCTTAGATCGAATTGGGGTGTTAGTGTAGACCAGGCCTTACTGTATGTTTCCCCTACAGCAGCACAGCTTCCTACATCAATGGAAGGGATTTTTCCATCAATGTAACTGATCCACTTCTTCACAGCTATGTTGACGGAAGAATTCTTCCATTGATCTAGCTGTATCTACACAGGGGGTTAAGTCAACCTAACTACTTTGCATGGGGTGCAAAATTCTTCACAGCTCTGAGTGACATAGCTAGGTCGATCTAATTTTTAAGTGTAGACCAAGCCTTAGAGCTTGGTGGTACTACATTTTACTGTCTTCACTAGCAGGATAACGTACAGATTGAACTGGTGGGCTACAAGATTAGTATCCTTTGGAGCCAGCATGAGAGCCCTTGGAGTGAAGGAGCAATCTCTGTGCTGTCATCTGGGTCCTGTCAGGCAAATGGAGCAACTGGAGCCTGACTACCTATCTTTACAGGGGTTGGTGATATCAAAGGCTGCTGATGAATCTAAAAGAATTGGTATGGGCATTTTATCTTTATCCACTGCTAAAAGAAGACAGTTTGCTAATGAAACCAGCACAGTCATCAAAACCAGGTATAAAATCTATTGAAAAGTGTCAAGGAAACAGAGGTCTTCATACTGGTGAGGCAGTACTGGCACTATCTTATCAATGGTATCTTCCCCCACCTCCCCTAAATGAACATATCTGTGCATCTTGTGATGTTCCACAGATAACTTCTGCTGAGACCCATGCACACATTCTGGCAGCAGTTGAGGGGTTAACAGACTGGTATTTACACTTAGAACTGATTTTCAGGAATAAAACATTGACCACTGTCTCCCCTCCCATTTAGAACTCTGGCCACAGATTCCAAATCCATATGAGCTGCTCCTAAATCAGGTGTGTGTATGGAAAGAGTAGGAAGCTGGTATTATACCATAAGGGTTTCCACAGGGTCTCCTGGTGTAGGGCTGGTGTGTGATTCAGCACTTTCTTTCCTACTTTAGGAATAGAATGAGGAATCAGAGTGTCTGTATTTCAGAAGGGGTGGGCTGGGAATAGACTCGCTGGGAAGAGAATCGTAGGACTGGAAGGGAACTTTACAAGGTCATCTAGTCCAGTCCCCTGCACTCATGTCAGGACTAACTGTTATCTAGACCAATAGTTTTCAGTTCCCTCACTGTCAGCAGTGCTCTGAACCAAATCTCTGGGCATCCCACAGGGAGGTAGAAATGGGTCATAGGGAAGAACAGAAAATCACATGACTCTCAGACGTGTGTGTTGCATAAAATGCTGGTAAATACCACTTATTTTTCTTTACTTCTTTCCTCTAACTCAAAACTGAGGTGTCTGTGGCAGTACAGTATATAGGCAGCACCCTGTCCACAGATCTGTTAAAGAGGCTAAGAGAAGGATCTTTCTCTCTTAGAATTGGTGTGGGAGAGTACAGTGAATGATAAAGTGGCAGGCTTAGGCCAGTGCCTTTTTATTTCATTAGCAAAAGATAGTTAAGAGCTGCATAGGCCAGGGAGACCCCCTCAACAGCGGGGCTATGTGGGGCCAGGAGCTCTCTAGCATATTTGCTGTAAAGGAACTTGGCATTTTCAGAATTAGAGGGATTTGCACATGAGTTTAAGGCAGTGGTTCTCAGACTTTTGTACTGGTGACCCCTTTCATATAGCAAGCCTCTGAGTGCGACCCCCCCCTTATAAATTAAAAACACATTTTTATATATTTAACACCCCATTATAAATGCTGGAGGATACACAGGGTTTGGGGTGGAGGCTGACAGCTGGCAACCCCCCATGTAATAACCTCACAACCCCCTGAGGGGTCCTGACCCCCAGTTTGAGAACCCCTGGTTTAAGGGATTTTTGGAAGATGTGTGGAGCCCTAATGGAAAGCTCTGAGGAGGAGGGAGGGGTTTTTTTGTGTGTGACATACTAAAAGGAGATTCTAGGGGGAAAAGGAGGGGATTGAGCAGCAAGAATTGGCTCTTCTGTTTTCTTATGTGAGTTTTTGCTGTAATGGCTAGAAACTTGTTCTGGTCTCTCTGCGGGAAATAGAACCTCCCCAAACCTGGTCTCTGAGATGCAGCTGGCTAGGATTCAGAAACGCGCAAGAAGTTTTGTTCTTGAGGAAAGTCAGGACAAGTTGATGAAAAGATCATTGTCCATGCACAGCAAGAAGTTGGTCTATCTTCTCCTCTTCCCATTGTAGTCAATTAGTCAAAGATGAGCAGACAGGCACACGCAGATCAACTTGTGTAGTGACTGTAGATCCAGGAGGCAATGCCATAGACAGCTATGAATGGGAGAGTTTAGCATCAGAACTTGGCTATGCACAGTGTAGTTACCGGACCCACAGGAGCCTGCATATGGCAATTATTGTTGATCTTCATCTCTTTTCAGGACAAAGGTGAGGGTGTTGGCTGGTTCGTGCAGTTCTCCCTTGTATGCCAGTGCAGGGTGGCACCACCTACCCTTTGTGCTTCTAGGAGTATTTCTGGTAACCCAGTTCAAAGTGAAGTAGATCCTGGTATTTCTTTCAGCCAATTTGGGCTGGGAGCTCTGCAGAGGTGGTGAGCTTGGCTCCTGAGGGTAGGTTTATGCTTGTATTGTTCAGCAGCAACCCCTGCTGGCCAACAGGTATAGCATTGACCATGCTATGAAAGGTGTATGTCTTACTAGTCTAGCCAGAGAGTAGTTTGTGAGGCATGGTTCCATAACGTCATGGTGAAGGTCCAGGTTTGACCTGACCTGGGCAATCCCAAACCTATTCACAAGGTGGCCAGGAGAGGGGTTGGAGCCTGATGACAGCTGTAAGGAGTTGGGGAAACCTATCACTGGAAGGAGGTGGTGCCCAAATAGATCCTTTCCAGTTGTCTGTGCTGCTCTGGGTAATCTTATTTTCTTCCCTTCCCATTTTGCAGATTATCTGTCTCAAAACACCATGGCACGACGCACACGCAACAGCAGGGCCTGGCACTTTGTCCTAAGTGGGGTACGCCGGGATGCAGATGCACGGGCGGTAGCTTTGGCCTCTGGAGCCCATGGGTGGGGCTATGACTCTGATGGGCAGGTAGGTTGGAATATTAAGGCTTCTAAAGTTAAAACATGCTTTAGAAGAGGATATTTTTAAACGCCCATTAAGGAAACCTTTCCTCCTCCCAGGATGCAGGTGACTAGTGGCTTGAGGGCTAGGTGCCCAGTGTGGCAATAGCATGCACAATGGGCCATATTTGGACAAGAGGCCAGTAGCCTACGCTTATAGGGCATCTAAGCTGATGCAAATTACTTTCTTCCCCCGGTGTATGTTATGAGAACTTGGACTCTCACCCAATTACCAGCCTGTCACTTACAAGTCCCCTTGACACACCACCTCTGAATTTGGCTCACTTGGTATAAATTGATGTAAAAGAGCTGGAAGGTGGGAATGAAGCAGGAAAAGAAATAGAACCATGTAAGAAGGGATAAATTAAAATAGCTACTGACCTCCTTCAGCTTGCTTTCCCCCAACTCCTAGTTATACAGCAGGGTCTCAAACTCAAATGACCACGAGGGCCACAAGAGGACTAGTACATTGGCCTGAGGGTCGCATTACTGACACCTCCCCTCTGCTGCCCTCAGCCCCGCCCCCACTCCACCCCTTCCATGAGGCCCCGCCCCTGCCCCACCTCTTCCCACCCCTTTCCTGCCCCCATTCCAACCCCTTCCCCGAAATCCCCATCCCAACTCTGCCCCCTCCCTGCCCCCAGGGGGTGCAGGAGGGGCGTGGGGTGTGGCGGGGACTCAGGGCAGGGAGTTGGGGTGAGGGGTGCAGGGTGCGGCAGGGGGCTCGGGGTTGGGGTGCAGGGTGCGGGAGGGGGCTCGGCAGGGGGCTCAAGGCAGGGGGTCAGGGTGTGAGGTGCAGCAGGGGGTTCGGGTGCAGCAGCGGTGCGGCAGGGGGCTCAGGGCAGTGGGTTGGGTGCAGGAGGGGTGTGACAAGGGGTTCAGGGCAGGGGGTTGGGGTGCAGGAGGGGTGTGGGGTGCGGCAGGGGGTCAGGGTGCAGGGGGTTGGGGTGCAGGAGGGGTGTGGCAGGGGGCTCAGGGCAAGGGGTTCGGCTGCAGGAGGGGTTTGGGGGGCGGGCTCTGGCTCCCTGCCTGCCTGCCTTGCCCTGCCCCCAGGCCGCTCCGGGAAGCGGCCGGAACCTGGGGGAGGAGGGGCACAGGGGTCTGTGTGTTGCTGTTGCTTCAGGCACCGCCCCCAGCAGCTCCCATTGGCCGGGAATGGGGAACCATGGCCAATGGGAGCTGCTGGGGGTGCTGCCTGAAGCAAGAGCAATACACAGACCCCTGTGCCCCCCCACTGTTCCCCACATTCCAGCCGCTTCCCAGAGCGGCACGGGGCAGGACAGGGCAGGCCGGCAGGGAGCCTGCCCTTCCCCCGGTGCGCGTTAGGCCAGAGCCGCTCTAGGTAAATGCTGGGAGAGGGCGGGGGGCCACAAGGAGCTCGCGGGCCACAGAAAATAACCCCGCGGGCCGCCTGTTATATAGGCTAAACTCCTTTGCAAGGTACACATTGGTATGAGGGTAAGACTGACTCGGATACCTGATTGGCCCAGTGAATTCAGAGGGACAGTATATAATTAGGTTTTCCTTCAGTCCTGTCAGAGTGGCTTAATGTTTCTCCAGTGGTAACATTCTCTATAAATTCTGCAAGGTCACTTCTGTGGAGGGGAAAGAAGAGAAAATAAAGGGCAGAAATGTGTCTTTCTAGATGTTTGGCCTGAACATCTAAACAATTTGCTGAGGAGAGGAGAGCACTGGGGTGGGCTATGCACAAATGAGCCAGAGTTGTACAAAATCCAAGTATCTCCAAGTGTCCTTATAAGTATGACATTCAATCTGGGCAATGGAGCAGGAATATATAGGAAACAGTGGGCTAATATCTAACACCAGTGTAAATCTAGAATAATTTACTGAAGTCATTGAGATTAGAGTCTGGCCCTGCACCTTGAAATACAAATACTGCATAAAAGAAATAGGTTTAGGTTCAGCTGTTTGATCTGCTAGCATATAGGGATAGTAATGTTTAGGTGCTGTTGTAACTAAATGTCTTCTGTGCCCATACACCACAGTAAGCAAAAGCTTTTTAAATTAGGATATCTTTATTTATTTATATCTCCTAGAGCTGGAAGGGACCTTGAAAAGTCATCGAGTCCAGCCCCCTGCCTTCACTAGCAGGACCAAGTACTGATTTTGCCCCAGATCCCTAAGTGGCCCCCTCAAGGACTGAACTCGCAACGCTGGGTTTAGCAGGCCAATGCTCAAACCACTGAGCTATCCCTCCCCCCTTTTAATGAAAATATCTTAAGTGTGAGGCCTTTCAATCACCTGTCCCCTAGGACAGGCGCCAACATGAAGTGTTGCCCTCTCTTCCACATGAGGAGCAGCAGCAGTTACTGCTTGAAGCCACCATTCCCTCACTCCTGAAATGCACTCTACGTTTTTCTCCTTGCTTACTGTATTACTGTTGGTAGCATCCTAGCCCCTTTTTCCACGTCAGTCCCTCAGCTGCCCAACCTCGCTCTCCCTTTGTAAAATCAAGACCTGGAATGCAGTGTGCTTGTCAGCCTCCTTCACTTTGCTTAAACTTTGCATCCTTCCCCATCCACTCATCTGTGTGGGCTCTTTTGGGCATGTACCTTCTGGGACCTTTGGGTATTACTGCAATACAAGGAGTGTCAAGCCATGGCTTTGTAAAGCACTGCTGGAGCTATGGGATGGCCCTCAAATTTTAGCTTTCTGATGGTCTCCCTCTGCTTTTCCATGGCAGCACAGTGACTCTGACTCTGAGCCAGAGTTTCCTTCCCTCTCGCCCTCCATCCCCAGCGCCATCCCTGTGACAGGAGAGTCCTACTGCAACTGTGAGAACCAGAATGAGACTCCCTACTGCTCCAGTCTGCACACCGTCCATCACGTCAAGGACTGCCAGTGTGGTGAAGAGGATGAGTGTAAGGAAGCAGCTCTTAAACTGCTCTTGCTATTCCTCTGGTGTTTGAACTGTGCTGCTTTCTCTTTGCCTGTATGTTTCAGGTTCCCCTCGTGTTATGCAGATGATGGTGCCTCTTGCTCATCTGTAGAGGAGTGGGGGGAGGGGGATCACCACTGCATTCTTAGTGGGGAAAATATAATCTGTGCTATTCCTGCATGGGGTGCTATTTTGTTCTTATGACATACCCCGTAGGGAAACTGGGAAGATACAGGATTTAATATACTGGTTATGATTCACAGGCTAAACTCTAAAGATGTTAATGCACCAGATCTCACCTGTGGGGGCCTGGTTTCAAATCCGGCTTAGGACACAAGTGAAACTGAACTTCATGTTTACATCCCAGGGCATGTCTACACTGCCCTGCCATGAACTTCTGGGGTGTGAATAGCAATGCACACCAACGTGCTGTAACTCCCCTATGTGGATGCTGCAGGTACAAACGAAATGGTTCCTACTTCACATTAATGTAATCCAGTGCACACTGCTGTTCATACACCTGTAGTCTGAACTGTGGGGCAGTGTACATGTAATGAGGATCAAACTCAGTTCAATTCAGTACAATTAGCAAACTGGTCAGGTAGTAAGGAGTATTGAAGATCAGGCTTATTGTGCATTAGGAGAGCTAGATAAAATCTGGGCCTGGCCAGATGGTGGGGGTGTTCATAAGTGAGGAATGAGAAGACAGCACACTGCTTGTCCTCTGGCTGTAATTTCATGAGCCTAAGGGGAATAAAAATGGAATTCTCCAAAACTCAAGGATGCTCTAGAAGTGTCTTAAATTCTCATTTTCCCAGATTAGACATCATCTGGGTTGTTTCCTGCTTGTCTTTCAGATTGACATTGCTGTTTGTAATAAACACTGAAGGCAACATTACTCTGTCTCATACATGGCCTGGATTCCATCCCAACCTCACATGCTAACTGCCAGCAGTTATGTATGCGACAGTGTTAGGTAACTGCAGTTGTAGGACAAGTTGCTTTCATATCTGAGCTCTGGTGTTACCCCCAAACGAGAACCATTGTTTGTTGATGGTGACAGACGTGGTTAAGGATGGACCACGCTGGCATGACATCCCCAGTCAGAATACAGCAAGAAGGTCTTGGGCTTTAACAAGCTGACTGTTCAACTAACTCAGTTTGGTATTTAAAAAATCTTAAAGGCTGTTAAACTGTTCTGTTTCTGGATTGGTGCGATCTCGTATAGCCCCACCTCCTAAATATGTTGTCTTCTTCTGAACAGACTTTGAGTGGGTGTGGGATGACATGAACAAATCGACTGCAACCCTCCTGACCTGTGACAACCGCAAGGTGAACTTCCACATGGAGTACAGCTGTGGCACTGCTGCTATCCGTGGAAACAAGGAGCTGGCAGAGGGGCAGCACTTCTGGGAGATCAAGATGACCTCGCCAGTCTATGGCACTGACATGGTATGTTGAGACAAGCTGTTTAGGAACAAGTAGGTGCACAGAGATAGACGAGCTTTTAACAGAACAGTACTTGACAGCATGCCTCATCAATAGCTCTCAAAGTACTTCACGAAAATTGGAATCCTCTTCAGCTACCAGACAGGAAACTAACCGTTTAATGCCTGAAGGGACCATTAGATCATCTGCTCTGACCTGTGTGGCACAGGCCATTAAATTTCACCACAATACCCCTATATTGAGCCCAAGAGCTTCAATTAGACTGAAGCAGAGAAGTTAAGTGACTTACTTGAGATCTCACAGTCAGTGGAGGTCATGTATAGGACCCACATCTGGCTCTCTTTCATGCCTTTTGTTACATTATTATTTGTAGGTCACCAGTGGTTGTCTCAACATGACAAAATAGAGAGATGGGCCCTGCCACACAGTGCTTGAAGTGACAGAATGCAGAGAAATGCCAGATTCCTGTCCAGTCAGAGATGCACCTTTTTCTGACTAGTTCCTAATGTGTGGTGAATGCTGGAACAGCACTAGAGCATGTAGATAAAGGAAGTTACTACAAAAAGAACAGGAGTACTTGTGGCACCTTAGAGACTAACAAATTTAGTTACTACAGTAACTCCTCATTTAACGTTGTAGTTATGTTCTTGAAAAATGCAACTTTAAGTGAAACTATGTTAAATTAATCTAATTTTCCCATAAGATTTAATGTAAATGCGGGGGGTTAGGTTCCAAGGAAATTTTTTTGGGGCAGACAAAAGGCATTATATACTGTACAGTGATGTACTGTACTGTGGTTGGGAAGTGCCCTTGGCTTACCTCACACAGACACAGCCCGCTGCAGGCAAGGACGCTAGGAAGCACCTTCGCAGCAGCAGCTTTTCCGGAGAAGAACAGGCGCCGACTTTGCCGGGGGATGCTGCAGGCCCGCCTCTTCCCGTCCCCACTCCACTCCAGGCCCACCTCTTCCCACTCCACCTCCTTTCTGTAGCACACCGCATCCCTGCTCCTTCCCCCTCCCCCCCCCCCCCCGAAAGATCTAAGCGCCACCAAACGGCTGTTTGGCAGTGCTTAGGACTTTCTGGGAGGGAAGGGGAGGAGTGGAGACGTGGCGCTTCCCTGCTTCTCCCCTTCCCTCCCAGCAAGTCCTAAGTGGGGGGAAGCGCTGGGAGGGAGGGGGAGGAGGCGGAGAAGAGGAACTTGGACAATGCTCCCTTGTAAAGTCGCTGCTCTTGCACAGAATCTTACAAGCAGTGGACAGAGCAGGCAGCCAAACGACGTTATAAGGGAGCATTGCACAACTTTAAAAGAGCATGTTAGCTAATTGAGCAGCAATGTAACTTTGAAGCACCGTTAAGCGGGAGGACGTTAAGTGAGGAGTTACTGTATTTAGCTAACAATCACCATTTTCCACTCCCCCTTTGGAGTTGTAATGCTGGGTTTTGATGTGAGGCTCTCCCCTTTGATCATCGCTTCAGTTGCTTAGTGTGGTGTCTGTAGATGTAGTTGGAAGAAAGAGGGGAAGAGCATGGCAAATGTCTCTCCCTTTTATCATGTCCTTTCTTCCCTCTCAGCTTTTCCCTCTTCAGAGTCAGGTGAGCATTACCTCATCGCAGTCCCAGACTGACCAAAGGAAGGTTGGTGACTCACTCAAGAGACTAACAGATTCTTTTGTTGCTGCCTAGGCCAGCGTCCTTTGTTCCTGTGAGGCTGGGCTGGGTTTGTCCCATACCTGCCCTGATGGGGTGTGAACTGCCTCTCTGCTCTTGAATAGTTTTTACCTGGGCTTATTTTAAGCCACGAGGATACATTTTCAGCCTCGTGCCTCCATACATGAAATTATAACCTATAACATTACTATAACAGCAATGCTCAGTGCATCATGAGCCTGCCAAAGACACCCAACATGACAAACTTTGCATTGGATACCACACAATCATTTTATAAAGATGAACATGGGGGTGTAGGATGTTTCCCCGTGATACAGAGCATCACACTCCTGTATTGTCTCACTGCTATGTTGTGCTTAATGCCCTGAGTGGTTCCATGGCAGAAACAAAGAACTTGTTTACTTCTTTGGCATGGGCTACTTCCATCCAGATGGTGGGAATTGGGACTTCAGATGTGAATCTTGACAAGTACCGCCACACATTCTGTAGTCTGCTGGGCAAGGATGAAGACAGCTGGGGACTCTCATACACAGGTAATGCAGGGTATGGAGGGGGACTGCTGCCTTTAGAGTTCATGGGGAAGGCTCATGGATATGAAGAAACCTAATCCTAGCAATTGTGGAAGTGCTCTGAGGGATGGGAATAAGACTGAAATGGTCACCTGGACTGTGAATCTGCTCTGATATCCCTAATGGACTTGGACTGAAACTGCTGCCCACAGCCAGCCTCTCATTTGGGCAGCGGAGAGAATCCATGCATATTGCCAGTGTTGCTGTTTTCCCATCAGGATTGCCTCTGTCATTTAAAGTCTCTTTTTTGTATACAGTGAAGTAACTCCCTTAACTGGATACATAGACTGACCTAGAGGCTGAACTCTGTCCATGCCCCACCTCCCCTGTAGATAACAGCATAAACTCCCCCCCGCCGCCACCGTGCCTCAACCTAAAAAAGGAGTGAAAGAAGTCCAATCTGTTCTGTATTTGCTCCACGACTGAGGCTGCCAATGAGGCTCCCTCCCCACTGCCTTGGTGAGAACACCTAGCTCATTTCACTTAGGCTGTCGCACCACAGAGGGGCAATAACTTTCAGACTTTAACACGTTTGGCCTATACTTGACCATGGATCTAGAGGCAAGAGTACATTCCACCATTGGCTGTCTCCTGAGCTGCCAAAGCCCCTTCACATGCTCTGGGATTGAGGGCAGCAAACGGTGGTCACGGGGAAATCCAGGTTTTTTTAATTAAATGGCTGACTCCTTCAGTTTATACAAATTAGGAAGAGATTATGGAAGATGGGATCGATCTAAAGAGTATAGGATTGCTTCTTAATCTGCTGTCTGTCTGTCTAAGGATTACTCCACCACAGGGGAGATAAAATGAACTTCTCCTCAAGGTTTGGCCAAGGCTCCATCATTGGGGTTCATTTGGACATGTGGCATGGAACTCTCACTTTCTTCAAAAACAGGAAATGCATAGGTAAGAGTTGGGACAAGGTGGCCTTCATCCAGCCAAACCCACCCTTAAGCACAGTGGTTCTCAAACTTTTGTACTGGTGACCCCTTTCACATAGCAAGCCTCTGAGTGAGACCCCCCCTTATAAACTATAAGCACTTTTAAAATATATTTAACACCATTATAAATGCTGGAGGCAAAGCGGGGTTTGGGGTGGAGGCTCACAGCTTGCGACCCCCCATGTAATAACCTTGCAACCCCCTGAGGGGTCCTGACCCCTAGTTTGAGAACCCCTGCTTAAGCACAACAAAGTGATGGGACAAAACATGCAGGGAGGGAGGGGTGTGTGAATTATGGAACATTGACCCTTTGGGTGGGTCTTCAGATTGTTGCTGCCTCTTGGAAGTCTTAGTGCCATCTGACTGTTTGGAGATGAGGATAGTGAGCAGGCTTCCTTAAATAGCAAACTATAGGAAGATTAAGTGCATAAAGCAGAGTGTCTCTAAAACACCTATTCACTCCTTCAACAGGCCTGACTTCAAAAATCTCCTGCTTTCCAGATCTCTATCCATAAGTTTGTAGACCCCACATTTAGGTGGGAGAAGGGGTGACAGTTCAGATCACAGGGCATCCTAGGAACTGTATCCCTGCATTATAGGCAATTACCTAATTGTGCCCTTGCCTATGACTAACACCAGCCTCCTTGATTGTATTTCCTCCCAGGAGTTGCAGCTACCAAACTGCAGAACAAGAAATTCTACCCCATGGTGTGCTCCACTGCAGCCAAAAGCAGCATGAAGGTGATCCGCTCATGCACCAGCTACACGTCCCTCCAGTACCTCTGCTGTTATCGCCTCCGCCAGCTGTTGCCCAACTATGTGGATACACTGGAAGTGCTGCCATTGCCTCCAGGACTTAAGCAAGTTCTACACAACAAACTAGGCTGGGTGCTGAGTATGAACTGTAGCACACTGAAGCCTTCCACCTCTTCTTCCTCCTTGTCGGGAAGTGACTCAGATAGCTCCTGTGGGTCGGATGCAGAGGCATGCCAAAGGAAGAGATGCAGGAGGACATAAGTTATTTTCAAACAAACTGCCTGGGGGGGTGGTTTCCTTCATTATTTCTGAGGGTGATCCAGGCCAGACACCTGTTTGTGGGGACACCAACTTCTAATCAAGTTTGCAAAGACTTCTACCCTCTTGAAATCTTTTAAGCTACAAGCATCAGCCACTTGCATTGAATACCTATCCCAAATGAGGAGAGTGACTTCTTTGAAATAGGCAGCCTAGATAACCTGCAACAAAATTTCCTAGCTTCATCTCCTACTCACTGCCACCATCACTAGCTGATCTCTAGGGCGTAGACTGTTCCAGCAGAGATGCAAGCTTTCAAACTGGCTTCAAAATGTGCGTCTCTTCTAACAGGCTTTATGATCAAATAAATGACTTGACTCCCATCAAAAGACAAAATCAGTTACCACTCCACCTCTCTCCTAACGGTTGTGTTGGTTTGGCACCTGCAATGAAGGCATCGGGTCACTGGGACGTGATCTAGAACAGCAGTGTTTAGAGAAGTGCTCCTAAAATTGCATCTATATGCTTTACTGTTGGCATTGTTGTGAATGAGCAGTTACTTGCTAGAGCTGATCTGTAAATGCTCTCATTTGAGTCCTGTGACTTCTTTAATTGCTTTGCATGTTGGCTGTTGCTGCTTTTCCTGTATCAGACTATTAAATGGTAATAAAAATACTGTTTAACTGCCTGTGAAGGTATGAGCTAAAGTGTGGCTCTTGAGAATATAGTGTCAAAGCAGCAACCCAGGAAGCTTTGCAGGAAAGCAGGAGATTAGTATCTTCCAAGTCTTCTTGTTCTTCCTAATGACCCATTCAGGCTGATTGGGTGAATGTTCCCCAAATACACACACTGTTGTGATAGGAATATTGACTATGTAACAAACTTCAGATACGGAAATGATATATGCATACAAATTGGATAATCAGCAAATCATAACCTTTCCACTGATACCTTACATGACCCATCTTGCATAAAATATCTTAATTATGCCATATTCATATTAAAACTACTTTTATGAAGAATATGGGGTGTAGTGTCACACAGACATGTTGGGGGGCAGATTATTCCCACAGGTGCCTTGTGGAGTCCTCCTTCCTCTGAAGCATCTAGTACTGGCCACTGGCAGACAGGATACTGGATTAGATGGAGCTCAGGGCTGACACACTATGGCAGTTACATGGTTAAATAGGTGCACCTTTTATGTAAGGAGAGGATAAAGGTGGGATCTGACTTGCTGCCTCCTTTGTTAATCAAATTAATACCTGAGACTCTGGTTTTATTGCCCCAAAGAATGGATGAATAATGCAGGGCTCCTAGTAAATCAGACAGTGGGATCCACACAGCTCTCACTTGATCTATTACTGTGACAGGCCTGGTGCCAGGCACCTGATTTGAAACTCAACACCGCTTTATCAGTAGTTATTTTGCATAATGTTCATACAAGACTTGCATGCTGACTGTAGCAGGCCAGAAAGTCTATTCCTCTCCTGGGTGTCAGAAAGAAATACTCCTGGATTAGGGACTGACAAGGGGCTGGATCCTTTGGCAGAAAATAATCCATCCGTGGCCTGAAACTGCTCCCACTGACCTTCAGTCAGGGAAGAACCTATTTCCCAGCTCAGAAGTGACCCTGATCTATAAGACTTTAAACATCACTGAGGAAAAAAATATCCTGTTACCTTGTAACTATAGGCACTGTCTTGATAACTAGCAAGTCAGGACACAAAGTGATGGGAGCAGGTATTGAACATATAAAACAGCAGGCATGTTCTGTAACAGTAATATGCCTAGAGTTGTAAGGACTGATGGGTTCAGGGTACTAAGATAACAAAGCTGGTCTCAATTAGGATGCTAGATTGAAATAGAACTGGTAAGTAGTTCTCTTCTGCTGTCTAATACTTATGCTCCCTGTAGCAAAGTAACATCATACCTGCCACAAGGCTGGGGTAAGTGAACTCTTTTCCCCCTCCCACCAAACATAGGGAGGCACAGCACCAGAAAGACTTGCGTGCTCCTTCCTCTTGTGTCTGTTTGTGAGAGCTGTGGAGCCTGCTGTCTTCTTTATCCACAATCTTACACCTCAGCAGTACTGAATAGCAGCAGGAAATGAACTCCCTCTCACTTCTAGCCTCTCCTCAGAGGGGGCTGAGTTAGCAAATGACTTCTGGTTAAGGTTCTTCTTCTTGCAGAGCTCTAATCTTACCCCTGAAGTAGCCAGATGCACGTGATTTGGAAGACTCTTGTCTGAACTGGAGCTATCACTGAAGTGAAGGTGTTTACATGCATATGGTGGAGGCTGAGACCTTCAGCTTTCAATATCAACTGTGCTGAACTAAGTCGGGAAAGCACTACAGAGTGCCCTTTAACTTTCTAAGTACAGCTGTGGGAGGAAATGCAGGAAGTACCCACATGTCTATTTGGAAATACTCTCACTGGTAGAGATGATACAGTGATGCTCCTCTAAAACTTCCCACACTAGCTACATGCATTCTCTGAGATGAGCCTAATACCCTCCACTGTGATGAAATCGTTATGAGAACTTGTCTTGCTTTTCCAGTTACAGGACCTGGAACATCTGTTAGATGAGAAGCTTAACCACTTGGTCTTCTGTATTAGGACACCGCATTACTGTGGTTTGTTTTGTTAGGGGGCTTATTCCTTCACCCTCTCTCTTCCCTGGTCCTTCTCGCATGAACAGAGAGCAACAATACCCGAAGTCCAAAGACGCAAACAATTCGATGTTTATTGGGGTGAACTTCCAGCAAGCATGATTCCAGTTTCCTTTTTCCTTATTTTTGAATCCCAACTTACTTCCTGTTTGCCCCTAATTTATATAGTAATAGTTTTAGCTATACCTTAATCAATCATTCTACTAAAATTTACTTAACCAATCCTAACATATTGTAACATGATTAGCTAACCAATTATATCCCACTACCTTAATTAGTTTACACCCAGCAAAATTAATTATACAGCAGACAGAAACCATGCAAATAAACATACAAAACAATACAGAAGTGAGGATTTTACAACTACATCTATACAGACATAAGCGTTTTCTAGCTGTGTCTATTGATAAGTGAGTTCTTACCAGACAGAAAACTATCAACCTAAGTTTCCTTTTATATCTTCTAGGCTCTTTCCTTTCTCTGGAGGTGATAGGAATACAATCCTGTTCTGATATTCCTAACAGTCCAATAGCACCTTATTTCCATGTGACTAGTTTGGAATGTGAGGATGTGACTAGGGTTACCATATTTAAAAAATAAAAAAAGAGGACACTCCACAGGGCCCTGGCCCCGCCCCCTCCCCTTTCCCGCCCTGCCCCAACTCCGCCCCTTCCCCACCTCAACTCCGCCCATTCCCTGCCCCTTCCCCAAAGTCCCCGCCCTAACTCCCCCTCCTCCTTCCCAGCCACGCGAAAAGGGCTGCCCGAGCGCTACCGGCTTCACGGTTTGCTGGGCAGCCCCCAGACCCTGCACCCCTGGCCGGCGCTTCCCCAGCGCAGCTGGAGCCTGGGAGGGGAAGTGCCCAGCCGGGGGTGCAGGGTCTGGAGGCTGCCCGGCAAACCGTGAAGCCGGTAGCACTCGGGCTTCGGACAGCCCCCATGCCTCCAGACCCTGCACCCCCGGCCGGGCACTTCCCCTCCCGGGCTCCGGCTGCTGTGCTCCTCCCCTGACTCTTCGGCTCTGTTTAAGAGCCGAGCTGCTCGAGCGCTACCGGCTTCGGACAGCCCCCATGCCTCCGGACCCCGAGCCGCCGGCCAGGCAGTTACACTCCCGGGCTCCAGCTGCTCTGCTCCTCCCCTGACTCTTCGGCTCTGTTTAAGAGCCGAGCTGCCCGAGCGCTCCGGCTTCGGGCAGCCCCCATGCCTCCAGACCCTGCGCTGCCGGAGCAGAGCAGCTGGAGCCCGGGAGGGGAAGTGCCCGGCCGGCGGCTCAGGGTCCGGAGGCATGGGGGCTGCCTGAAGCCGGTAGTGCTCGGGCAGCTCGGCTCTTAAACAGAGCTGAAGAGTCAGGGGAGGAGCAGAGCATCCGCGGGAGGGGAAGTGCCCAGACGGTATTTTCCCAGACATGTTCAACTTTTTGGCAATTCCCCCCGGACGGGGATTTGATTACCAAAAAGCCGGACATGTCCAGGAAAAACCAGACGTATGGTAACCCTAGATGTGACCATGCATTTCCCAGTCTATGGCTGCCTCTGCTGCTTAGCCGAAGGCCTTAGCCTAAGAACCAGGCCTCAGACTGTCACAGTAAGAGAAGGCTCTTACACATACAGAAAGTGATTTTGATTCTTTCTTTTATACTTCTATAACTAGCTAAGTGATAAGAATACACCTAAATTCTTAAAATATAAGCCTTTACAGACAGGCCTGAATATCTATATCCTAACATGGTTGAACAAGGAATTTCTTTGGCAACACAATGACCTGGCAGCTTGTTTACTTAAATTAGTTTATTGGAAGAACGTATCCCCATGGAACAGCCATTTAAAACAAGGATTTCTATTCATCTGCTGTCCCTTCCTAGTTTCCCTCCTCCAAGTAAGTGAGCAATGCTACCTGGAGACCCACTGAAGCAAGAGCGGATTCTCATTTCAACATGGAAACCCAAACTTAAAGAGCTAGGGCCTTATTTTCAGAAGCATTCAAAACCCACAGTTCCTAGAGTCAAGGGGAGCTGGGAGTACCAAGTACCTTTCAAAATTCAAACACTAGTGGTCAAAGTTTGGGAACCCAGCGAGAGGCCATTTTTAAAGCTGTTGACCTTAACATCTCTGGGGTGGGAATAATACACACTCCCTTTTTGTTCAAGAGTTTTCTCTAGCTAGCCTGGCATTGACGGCTGGGGAGCCCAGCTATCCAAGTGCAGATGATTTTACTCATTTTAGTCTGGTCTGCTCTCTCACAGCTAAGCTACTCCCCTCTAGGCCAGCAGGTAGTCAAGACCACTGGTTAATTCCTCCCCCCCACCACCTTTAAAGTAGTTCTACCCCACTCAGGAGACAACAGCCAGGGTGGTGGTGCTGGGAGTCAGGAGCCTAACCAGACCATCTCCCACAAGGACTTGTGGGGAGCAGGGAGGTTACGAATCAGGTCTATAAAGCAGCAAAGGGAGGCTAAGCCAAGGTCTTGCTGCATGGCTGACACTGGAGTACTAATCTCATGCATCTCCCACAGCAAAGGAGATGATCTCTTGCTGCCCAGGGAGAGATCACTGTACTCCTGGCTGCACTGTTGTGTTCTAAGACTGCCAGCTTTTACTCCGCTCTGCCCATGGATGCACAAGGAAGGGTATTTATTTAAATAGCAAAACTGGAGCC